ACTTCAATCAAATGAAGCTGAGTAGACTATGCAGAAGATTTAACTTGAAGAAGTCTGTAAAAGCACCGACAAGAGGCACCAGAGTTTTAGACCAAATACTAACGAACATGTCAGATTTATATAAAGAAGTGGTGCACCTGCCTCCAGTTGGTCGCTCTGACCATCAATGTTTGTTGTATAGTCCCAGAACAATACAAACCGTGAAGCCTTCTACTCGAAAAGTGCGCCTAACGAAACCATGTAACCTAAATGCACTCGGCTTAAAATTAAACCTTGAGGACTGGAAATCAATATTTGAGGCTCGAGATATCAATAACAAAGTTAGTCTTTTTACAAATACTATGATAGACATATTAGATAAAACAATACCTGTAACCACGATACGTACCCATGCGTCTGACAAGCCATGGATGACGGCTTATATCAAAAAAGAGATTAAAGCGAGGCAAAAAGCCTATACTACTCGGAACATGACCAAATATAGACAATTGGCTGATAAGAGCATTACACTTATCAAGAAAGCTAAAGCAGAATTTTATTCATCTAAGGTCAAAAGCAAACGCAAACACGATGCAGCAAAATGGCATAGAACGATATCCCAGTTAGCTGGCTTTGAAGGTGACAATCTAAACAACAACTTAATCTCAGACAGCACTCCAGATACAGCGGAAATACTGCAGAATATATTTACTAAACCATGGTCAAAACTTCCTGAAACCATAATCCCTAGTCTTGAAGACGTAGCGTCATCACTGAGGCAAGAAAATTCTTCTACTCCCTCAATTGGACAGGTTAAGACTGCCTTGAAACAACTAAACTCTAAAAAAGCCACCGGGTCCGATGGGATTCCAGCATGGGTGCTTAAACGATACTGTGAAGAACTAGCGCCCATCGTTCATGACATTATTTGCGCCAGTATAAAAGAATGTGAATATTCAACTGCGTATAAACACGCCTTAGTTATCCCAGTTCCGAAGGTCAATCCACCAAGAGATATCGAGAATGACTTTCGCCAGATATCCATTCTTCCCCAAATGGCTAAAGTGCTGGAAAAGCTGCAGCTCAAACTGAACCTTCCCAGTTCACGTATAAATGATAATCAGCATGCCTTTACAAGCAAACGATCAACCGTGTCCGCACTCACCAACATCTCGCAGAACTGGTTTAATGAGACCGACAATACTCACAGCGCCAAAAATGGAGTTCATGCACTATTCATAGATTTTCGCAAAGCGTTTGACCTTGTTGACCACGGAATTCTACTTCGTAAGCTCGCAGAAATGAATGTAACCAAAGCCTTTTGGCTGTGGACACGTAGTTTTCTGGAGGATAGAAGACAACAGGTCAAACTAGCAGGAACCCTATCATCGGTCAAACCTTGTCCTGCAGGAGTCCCACAAGGTTCTGTGATGTCCCCCGCTCTTTTTAATATTCACATTAACGATATTGAGAACTCAATCCCAGATGGATTATCCATAAACATATGCAAATACGCGGATGATTGTACACAGGACAAAGTGGTGTCACAAGGTTCATCCAGCCATATGCAGGAGGCCCTTGAAGCAGTACAAGAATGGTCTAATAGGAACAAAATGACGATAAATTCGAAGAAAACAAAAGATATGTGGATATGTTTTAACACGGCAATACCGGCACCAGAACCATTGGTCATTGGAAACGAGGCAGTGGAAAGAGTAAATTCTCATAAACTGTTGGGTGTCTGGCATCAAAACAATTTGAAATGGAACTGTCATGTCAAGAACATTGTAAGGAAAGCAAATAAACGAATGTTTAGTCTGAGAGAATGCCGTAGAGCGAATCTTCCTCCTGAGGTCGGTATTACATGTTATGAATCCAATATTAGACCTGTTTTAGAATATGCAGCTCCGATATGGGGTGGTTTACCACAATATCTCATTGATGAAATAGAGAGCATTCAAAACAGATGCATCAAAATCCTCGGCACATCTCGGTGCAACTTTGAAACGCTAGAACAAAGAAGGGCACACCTAACTGTTAAGGAATACCAAAGCATTCTAAGTGATCCGACCAACCCATGTAATAAACTTATCCCCCAACCTTTTACCCATGAACACGATCTAAGAACAACAAATAATCTACCATATGTTGTATCGTATACTAAAAGACACCGGCAATCCTTTATACCTAGAGCTATATTCCTTTTAAAACAGTCGTAAATTAATTTTATAGAATATATAACTAGTATAAACATTTTTAGCAACATTGATGTAAATAATAGTAAAATTTCTTCTTATCAATTTTAACCTTAGCACTTCTTGTAAATCCATTGTACTTTTTTAACCAAAGATGGATATTAAATGTTATTATTATTATAAAAATATAGGATCTGCTAATTGCTGACACATCGATTTAGATCTACACGCTTTCAATCCAACTCTAACGACGAACTAAAAACCAAACTGCAAGAGCGTGAATGCTTCCCAATCATTTCCTGATTCTCAATTGCCAAAGCAATGATCAGGGGGTCTAAATACGCTCAGTAGTCCATAATCAAATTTCAATAATAGATTAGATAACATCCATTTTATGAAACAGAATATCCTTTAAATTAGTTATATACATTATTACATGGAAGGTTATAGATTTTCTTTCTTTGGAAAATCTGACAGGTTTATGTACACCTGTCAAACCTGTCTGAATCCATTGTCAATGTGCGAACGCGTGGTGCCGATGAGCACGTGAACTTATTTTTTGTAAGTCAAGTGTGTTTTACTTTTACGTTAATATGCTGCAAAAAAGCATATATAGAAACATGTTGATTTTAATATTTCTATCTTACTTAACGGTAGTTTAATTTAATGCTTTTAAATTTTGGCAGGGACGGGGTGCACAATTTCTCAGGGGGGGGGTGGAAAATTTTTTGGGGGGTGCGCATCCCCCAGAAAATCCGTCCTTGTATGGAGCACATATGACCATTCTGTAACCTTTACATAGTACCTTATTTTACAGGCCTAAAAGTAACTGAAGAACAGCTGAAGGAGGCAGCTACCCTATCTGGCATTTTGCAAGTACCAGATGACTATTTGGAGCCAAATGTTAGAGCAGAATGTGAAAGACTGATCCCTGATCATGACACAATCAAACCAAATGAATGCCAAGATGCATACTTATACTTGAAACAACATTATAATAGTTAATTTTAACATGTCAATTTTAATGTTCTTTATAATAGATGTCTATAGATGCATGTCTGTGCAATCAAGATATGGAAGATGACTTCCTTGATGCCTCATTTAGAAGATGTGAATCGCTTCTACCAAAAACAGAAAAAATAGAACCTAAAGATTGTGCATCTGCATTCATATATCTCAAAGAAAACTTTAACACAACATTGTAGATGCTACATATAGATGTAAACTAAATTTAAATTCATTTTGTAAATACAGATTTAAACCAAATCCTTAGAAACATGGTAGCAACCAGTCTGGTTAAGTTCTTAATTTAAAGTAGTTCAATAACTTCTGAAAATTGATTTGATGTTTGTTGTTCTCATGTAAAGTTTAAACAAAAACAATCCTGGATAGATGGAAAGAAAAACAAATGGTGATCAAAGTTTGTTCGTTCACTGCAACCAGGTATATCAACCATGTTCTCGCTTGCTACTCCGGTTTAAATAAATTATTACAAAGCCCAGTTGAATTGTAATCAAGACCCAACATTTCGACACTCCAGTCTAGTGTCTTCAGGGGTGATCTGAAGTTACAATCGTTGGCTTCTTAAATACCCAAGGGATGACGTCACCTGCCAATGAGATGCATGTATCCCTCTGGTAAATAGGCACCGTCATCCCTATTCAAAGCATGATTACTCATATTTATATGCCATGCTTCTAGGCATAGTCTTTGACTAGTGTGGCATATAAATGAGTAATCATCCTTTGAATAGGGATGACAGTGCCTATTTACCAGAGGAATACATGCATCTCATTGGCAGGTGATGTCATCCTTTGGGTATGTAAGAAGCTACATTGCAATTTTAGATTACCCCTGATGAAGACACTAGACTGGAGTGTCGAAACATTGGGGTTTGATTACAATTCAAATAGGCTTTGTAATAATTTATTTAAACCAGTGTAGCAAGCAAAAACATAAATGGTGATCAATCTTTACTGCAAACACTAGTCACCAAAAGTGGTAAAAGACATTGGACCTACTATGTTTTCCAACTGTTAATTTAAGACTTGAATTAAATTGCCCAATGTGTTCATAAAAGATTTTTTATTATAACCTGGTGTTAAACAGATGCTTGCCCAGTCACTCTTTGCTACCACATTACTAGGGATGCGATTTAAGGTCTGATATGTTCTTAAAAGACATTAATGAATCTTCTAAGAGTAACTAACAGATAATGTCGATAATATCAAGTTTTAGGTGTCCTTGTTATACACCAAACTGAAATAAGAACAATGTTTTAAAGATACATCATTACTTTCCCCTCACAGCAGTTTGTGTATTCTTTCTATACAAGTACTTTAAGCTTCAGAAGCTCACAGTACTCATTACATCTATGAATGAGTTTAAATTTTGCAATTGCTTAAAATGACAAATTCCCTGTGGTAAAAAGTAATTCTTTATTTTCATCAAAGAGGGAAGATGATGCAACTTCTGGGTCTACAAGGGAGTAGCCACATCCTTGGATATCTAACACCATTACCTGATTGTTGGATTTTTCAAAAGAAAAATGAGAAAGACACTCTGTTTCTGTAATATAACTTCGTTGACATTCTTGCACAATGTGCCATCATTGTTTATATACTTACTAAACTCTCCATCTACAAACTCTTCAACTGTGACAAATTCGTCACTTTTTTTTCCTAAGTAGACACTCCCATAATGAAAACAATCACCAAAAGATTCTTGCATGCCATTTTGCTCAACACTTGTCTTCAGTTGGCTTGCAAAGTTCTGGGCTAAGCTGTGCATTTGTACAACCTTCTTTGTATGGGTTTCGAGAGTTTGATTGGTCTCAGCAATGACATCCAATGCATTTTCATTATATTCTTTGACTACCCATGAACCAGCAAAGCTCTCATCTTTTGATTCTGCTTTATAAGCTTTTCGGAATGCACCTTCTCCGAGCACATCTTCTGAAACACTAAATTCAACTGCCCTTGGTGAAGACGACCAGCTCATATCTGCCAAATTAAATCCATACAAGTGGATGGTAGTGGTAGACCTGTTTATAAGTTTACCTAGTTTCAACATATGGGTTACCGAGAGACTCTTGGGCATTGGTGTTGAGATTTTAGCTTTTTTTGGACTTGGAACAGAGTTAGGGCCCTTTCGCTTTACAGTTGTGCTTTGCGGATGAACTGGGTCAGTATCATCACAGAATAGGAAGTTATACCAGAAGCGTAACTCTAGTCGTTTCCCTTATTGTTTGACATCCGCGAAACTTTTAACTCGCTCACGTCAGGCCACGCCATCCTGGCTAGTACAGCCGGAAGTTTTTATCAGGATTTGGTAGGTACAAAGTGCCGGTTGTACTAGCCAGGATGGCGTGATTGATGACGAATCGCTTGTAAAAACGCGGACAAATATTTGCTCGAGTTACGCTTCTGGTATAACTTCCTATTCTGTGGTATCATCAACGAATACAGGCGCATCTGCTGTCGAGCTTTTGTTTATGAATCTGACGTATATAAGATTCATATTAGGTATTTGCTTCAAGGATGCGCAGGAAGGTCCTTGCTCACCGGCAAGAATATCACATACAACATTGTTTCCAACCTTCGGTTCAAAATGTTTCAGGCATGCATCCTTCACTCGTTCAATTGTCATCTCTTCTTTTGTATAAAATCGATCTAGATCTTCATCGTCGTCGTCATATAACTGGACAAATTCCCTTGGGCCGATACGTGAATACTTTTGGGCCTTGCCCGACACGTCCGCGCTTAACATTTGAACAGTTATTTCACGTTTGGAAACATCTTTCCCTTTTTGGCTCTTCCCACTCAAGCGTTTTTTTTTCATATCTTCTTTGAACTTTCGCCATTTCTCCGCCATGTTGCTTTCCGCGCGGGCAAAGGTTCATGGGATGTTATGATAGCGCTCGGCCACTGCTCGGCTCATGGGAATTTCTCTCGGGTCGCTGTGCATTATGGTAGTGGCAGCCCTCGGCCATGGTGAAATTCACTTTTACTTTGTAATTTTAATTGTAAATCAGTATTTTGTATTTCATTTTAATTTACTTTTATTTTAATTTATTTTTATTTTTCATTTTAATTTATTTTTATTTTTCACTTTAATTAAAAAAAAATTATAAAGAATATTTTGGTAGTGGCAGCCCTCGGCCATGGTGAAATTCACTTTTACTTTAATTTTAATTGTAAATTATTTTGCATTTCATTTTAATTTATTTTGTATTTCATTTTAATTTATTTTGTATTTCATTTTAATTTATTTTTATTTTTCATTTTAATTAAAAAAATAAAAAGTAAAAAAATCTTTAAAATAATGTAAAATGTACAAAAAAAACGAGTGGCAACGCTCGGCCACCATACACGTCCACACCAAATCACATATTCTACAAGCTGCTACAAAAACACACATATACAGAAATGCAGTTCTTAATAATAACATCAACAAGACATGTCGAGACTTGCAGTTAGCAGTACACATGTAACACACAGAACTAGTAAATAACGTAACCTTGGCTCACCATCTGATGCCTTATAGCTCAATGGTTAGAGCGTCTGTCCGGTTATCAGAAGGTTACGTGGTTCAAATCCCATTAGGGCTCAGAATTTTTCTTAGTATATAGGCTTGATACGCGTCCACACCAAATCATATATATATATATATATATAGCACAACCAGACAGTTTGAGCCATACGGTCAGAAGGTACCGCTAACCTGTCTTGGTTGATTTAAAGCCAGTTTGAAAACAGGACTATTCATAGCTTCGTGTACATAATTAAAGGCCAAGCTGAGTCACTGCTTGAAAGAAAAAGCTGTTTTGACTTGGCATATTCAAACAAGTTAAATTTGTGAAGCAGGCTAACTTTAACTCTAAGAAGATTAATGACCCAAGACTGAACTAATTAGTTAATGAATATAATGACTTGTTTCACGGGTTAGGTCAAATTACAAATTATTTGCATAAAATTAAACTAGATCCAAATGTTAAACCAGTAAGCCAACATCAGCGAAGAATTCTCCTTAGTCAAGTAGAGCAGGTTAATGATGAAATTGATAAAATGTTGAAGGATGACGTCATTGAAGTGGTACCCGAACCAAGCCCTTGGGTTTCTAATGTTGTAGTGGTGCCTAAGGCAGCAGGAGGCTTAAGGGTTTGCTGTGATTTTAGAGAGTTAAATAAAGCCATTGTAATGGAATGATATGTCCTTCCAAAAGTAGAAGACACTTTGGATGCCCTAAGTGGTTCAAAATATTTTGCAAAAATTGATGCAAGAAGCGGATTTTACGTAACTTAAAGTTAAGAGCGACTGTCCGTAAAAATCGAGCAAACAGTGGCAATAGATGAAAAATAGATTTCTTTCATATTTTGCTCAAATTTAGGTAATACCTAGTTATAAATGGTGTTTGGGTTAGATATTCAATATTTCGTCGATAAACGTACAAATATCAGAAATCAAGAATTTGTCTCCGGAAGGCTATAATTAGCCGCAAACAAAGCCGTTGCCATAGTC